AGAAAATCTTTTAAATTTCCCTCAGGGCAGCTTGAAGCCATTTCCTTGTGCTGGTTTCCTGGGAGAAGAGACCAACCATGGCCTGATCACAATCTCCTTTCAGGTATTTGTAGAGTGTGATAATGTGTCCCCTGAACCTCCTCTTCTCCAGACTCAGCAATGCCAGTACTCAGTCACTCCTTGTATTATTTATATCCCAGACCCATCCAACAGCCCTTCTCTGGACACACTGCAGCACCTCAAAGTCTGCCTTGGAGCAAGGGCAATAACACCAACACAGCACTCAAGGTGCAGCCTCACCAGTGCTTGTACAAGGGGACAATGGAGTCCAAGATCAGCCTGTTCCAACCCCCATGCCCTGAGCAGGGACACTTTCCACTGCTTGTCCCAAGCCCCATCCAGTATGGCCTGGAAAATGTCCAGGGATGGGGCAGCCACGACTTCTCTAAACAATGGGTTCCAGGGAACAGCCTCACAGGGAAGAATTTCTTCCCAATATCCCATCTAACCCTGTTCTGTAGCAGTGGGAAGACATTCCCCCTTGTCCTGTCACTCCAGGCCTATGTCCAAAGTCCCTCTCCAGCTCTCTCGGAGCCCCTAAAGAAACTGGAATGGGCTTTAAGGTCTCCCCAGAGCCTTCCCTTCCACAGGCTGAGCAATCCCCAAAACACAATACAAAGCACATTTTTGGGGTAGCAGGAAAGAAGTGGTATCAAGAGCTGCCACTGAACACTGAAAACTGAGCAGCATGCTCAGGCAACTTCATGTATGCTCATATCCAAGAAAGCATGCCAGCCTAAGCCATTTGTGATTAATATTTTATATTGGAGTAAAGAAAGGGTATGTGAGCAAGGAGCAGCCACCAGAGTGGCCACACTCCTTGCCACAGGGAGTCAGCTGAGGAGAGGTGACTGATCAACCCAGTTTGCTGCAGCCTGATTTCTGCAGCCTAAGAGAGCTCCTTCCCACATTTGGCTTCATTCCAAGACTGCTCTGGGAAGGATCAGTAATAAACAGCTCTGTTATCTCTGCAAGGTTTCAGGGGCTGGATGCTTTTGCATGCATGGCAGAATTTCCCTTTCCTTGGATTCATTAGGGAGACTTAAACAGCCTTTGAAACATGATACATTGCACCCTGCTTATAAAGATTCATATTTTTGCTTCTTTTCTCACCAAAGAGATCTCAATTTTATAATCTGCCATTATTTTTCATTTACTCAAAGCTGGTCGTGATTTTTTCAGGCAGGAGCAACTGAACTACTTAATTAAAAGATTTAAAAGTGCTTTTGTCCAAGAAATCTTTGAGAACGGGAATATTTACATTTCTTGCCCAGTGGTTGATTTGTTGTATTGAAAGTTTTACTTGTAACTTAACAGATCAGCTTCTTTAGACTTTTCTCCAGACCATTTTTAATTGGTTATGAAAGTGTGATGGTGGTATATAAGCAGAGTTTGGCTGGAGTCAGGGTGGCAGTAAGTCTTGTTTGCAGGAGACTTGGATACCAGTTGCAAAAATCAGCTCCTTAATCAACTTTTCAGCACTTCAAAGAGGCCTCAAACCTCAGGTTTGAGTTTAGTTCTGTGACTTTGAAATCTGGACATACCCCGAGCACCTGGAGGCATGCAGATTTCCAAACCATTTCTAAATTCCAACAAGCTAAGAATGTCCAAAATGTCTTAGAAAATGTTTCAGGCTTGTTCTGAAGAAGGCTTTGAAATCCTTTCAGGAAAGAGCTCTAAAAGGCTTTTGAATAACAGGGGGCTCATTTTCTGAGTGGATTTTCATATGGTTCATCTACAACTAATTCCTTTTCCTGCCTGAAAAACACACAATAACTCTGCTTAATATGACCCCTCACATTAGAAGAATCACCAATTAGATTATCCTTTCCTCCCACCTGGCAGTGCAGGATTGATTCCTACAGCATACAGCAAACTCCAACCCATCCAAGGCGTTGCAACTTAACCATCAACCTCCATCCTGTTTCCAGCATGCTATGAGCAAGAACCAGACCTTGGGGAGAGGGAGGAGGAAAAGGACTTTCTCTGGATTTGCTGCAAAACTGCTCATTTTCTGTCACAAAAAAATGCATCAATATGAATATTTTAATCAAGGAACAGGAAAAGGGGGTGTTAGGGGCATATTCCCCCCTCCAAATTGCTTTGGAGGCAGAAAGCAGGACTGGGAAATACTGAAGATGCCCAGATCAATGATCCCTGAGCTGTGGACATAGGGCACTGCACTATCCAGCCCAGGCATGGACTGAACCCTGTACCCAAGAAAAGGCCAGCAAGGATATGGAAAGATGGCTGAAGACAGAGTAGACCAAATGAGGGACCACAACAAAAAAAACCAACCCTTTTTTACTTCATTGGCATGACTGGCCTTAAAAACTAGACTACTTGGAAACAGTGGGATGTACCTTCAGAAAATTTTTATGTACATAAAGATAAAATGTTCAAATGCCTCCAGGACATGACTCATTAAATGAAAACATGCTTTAGCTATTCCCATGTGAGCATTTTGACATCATTCTGAAGCATAAAACACATTTTGCCATGCCCTCTCTCTAACAGCATTCCTTTTGTGCTCCTTCTACCTTATCCCTGTAACTAGACATTATCTCTGCAGCCCTGTGGCAGGCTGGAACAGAGGCACCACATTTAAAATGCATTTAGGAGCCCTCTTCATGAGAGAAAAATTGCAAAGAGAAAAAGGCATCCATGGGAGGAGGAGACTAGGGAAGATCTCCTCCCTTTCCCTGCTCCCCCCAAGAAGCATGGACCAATCTTCAAACACACTGTGTGTATTTTACATTTATTTCCACTAGTAATTTAGTTCAGGAAAGGAGTTGCTATGGCTCGTATAACACATGCCAATTTTGAAACACCAGGCATCTTCTCAAGAGGCTGCAGATGGACTGTAATGAAAACAAGCCCAATCACACATGACCTTAAAAACTTGGCCTGAGTAGTGCCTGAAGCTCAGCATGGGACTATCTCACCCTCCTCCCCTCCCATGGCCTTCACCATCTTGCACATCTGAGAATGAGGAGTATTTTTTGACAAGTTCCTTTTGAAAGTCATCCCCTCCCACCTTAATATCTTGGTCCTCTAAATCCCCACTCCATCTCACTTCCTGTGGACCCTTGGCTGGCAGGTTCACAGTCGTGGCTGTCATCCAGCTCGGGATAAACGCACGCCTGCAGCACACATTTTCCTTTCCTCAGAAGGAAAAAAAAAATCATTCAGGACCTTGACATATTTTTCATCCCTAGATGGGATAAAAAGTTGAAATCTGCTGTAAAATAAGATTAGATGAAGAAGTCACACCTCCCTGTCCCTTGAAAATATTTCAGCTCATGGAAAATGTTTTACTTGGCAAATCTGTAATGAATTCAACTTTGTTTTGACACAACCTGTTCATTTAATGCAATTCCTATAAAACTAATTTCCAAATAATCTTCACCAATTTTTTTCCTTGCAAAACAGAAAGGTAGAACAAAGAGGTCATTTTCATGAGGCACAAATGTCTTACAAAACCCAGACAAATCCACAAAAACTTCACTTCCACTAAGATGACATTTTCTTTTCAGAAACCTGTTTCAACATATGCCTTTTCCTAGCTATTCTTAGTGACTTATAAACATCTTCACTTGATAAGTAATGCTGCACTGCTGAATGGGTGATAAAGGTCAGCCTGGTGTTCCCACCACAGAGCTGTCAGATATGTGCCACTGTAGAGCACTCCAGGCATTGATGTCAGAGGATAGGGGACATTGACTGTCATAAAGCATCAAGGGACAAAAAGACTGTCTTGTCTCATTCAGCTGTCTTACCTACTATCAGTTCCACCACTTACATGCTGATGCAGAATCACAGAATCATTTAGGTTGTAAAAGCCCTCTAAAATCATCAAGTCCACAGCACTGCCAAGCCCACCGCTAATCCATGTGTCCCCATTCCCACATGCATATATAGTTTATCTTGTCTGCATTTGGGTCATTTCATTTAAGCAAAATCTTTGGACCATAATGGTCCAAATACAAGTATTTCCACTAACTTAAAAGGAAGGCATCCCAAAATAGGCCAGGCACACCTTGCCACTTGCCTGAGCCTCCACCGTAAAATAACAGAAAGAGCAAAGAAGAATGGTGAGAACTATCTAAAGAAAGGTAAACCAGCAGGAGAGGTTAAAGTCCAGCCATTGCAGCTACCTCACAAAAATTAGGAAAATTCTGGAAACACACACTTTTTTGACTGTTGATGGCCCAGCTCTAGAGAGATAGATGGGTGTGCCCACCTAGAGATGCCCAGATTGCTGAAATGTTGAACTAGTTTGTCTTGGAGGAAATTAAACAGATGGTGGGAAGAGAAAGGCATTTCTGCTACCTGTGAAAGGGGACAGTATGCTGCCCAGTGGAGGTTTGGCTGACCATAATGACCTTAAATCTCCAATATTAGTGAAATAAAGAAATTCCTCTGCAGAGTCATAAGCAATACAAACACACCTGGACCTTTAATATGCCGTAGAAGAAAAAAATTAAATATAATCTTTGCACTTTTGGGGTAGTTTTGTGCAATCTAGGAATGCTGGTTCTAACTGAGTTAATATTTGCCTACTTAGGAGAGCCTTAGAGTAACAACTCTTCTAATCAGCAGTGACTAGAAGAAATTACTGAGACTCAACACAGTATAAAGCAGCTGCTTGGTCCTTACAAGTTCCCATGGAGGTAAGCTGCCCAGGGAATTTTGAAATGTATATTGTGCCTGACTGTGTAATGGAAAATGTGTCAGCAAGCCCTGTCTTGGCCACAGCCATCATGAACAGGGTTAGGAATTGGTGAACCATATTGTATGTCAGAGATGTGCTTTACCTGCATGTGTGTGTCACCTCCTTGATTGCCCCTTATTCATACATGTTCCCCTCTTGCCCTTTCCTCTTTGGGGGCAGAGTACAGTGCAGAGTACCCGCTGCAGGACCCGCTGCAGTACCTCACCTGTCCTGGGTCCCATGTGACCCCACTTTTTCATTCTTCATGCAGAAATCAGGTGAGCTCTGCAGGTAAATCAGCTCTGTCTCTTTGACTGGCCTGATATCAATATCCTTTGGGACAAGGTATTTGCGTGTGCCCATGGGCCGGTGAACAACCTTGGTGGCAGATAAATATTTGGTTTTGAGGTCCAGTGCAATGTCTCGCAGCTCTTGAAGGCCTTTCCAACAGGTCTTGATAGAGCATGACCCAGAAACTCCATGGCACTTACATTTCATTTCAAGAGAGGCTTTCAAGACCTGCAAAAAGGAATGCAGGAGTTAGGAAATGCCCTTCTCTCACAGCCAAACATCCCACAAGCTTGCTAATGAAGGAGCTTCCTTAGCAGGAGCTGCTACAGCAAAGTCCTACTGTTCTCATTTCTGCACAGGCAGTCTGGAGTGGCTACTTTGAAAGCAAATGAGATCCTACAGCTCTTTGGCAATTTTGAAAGCAAATGAGATCCTACAGCTCTTTGTGATCACTATCAGTCCAGGACTACTTTCACAAGGGCTCTTTTGCAGCCAGAAGAGAGAAGAGTATTTTGAATTTTGATTAGATATCTATATTGGGCTGCATTTCCACCCTCTAAATTCCTAAGAGGATGAATATCAAAACATTCCATAAATAGATAATTAACATCAATTTCAACCTCCAGCAGCTTTGGGCTTTGGTTAGAGAGATGTCATGGCTTTGTTGAATTCAGTGCACTCTCACCCTGCCTTTCTGCTGGTCATGGGGCCAAAATAGCCTTTGACTCTGCACTGTTCTCATTTCAGTGGGATGTGGCAGGATGCTGCCAGGAAGGGCTGAATGCACCAGCCATGGCAACACAATGTCCTAAACAAAAATTTGCCCTTTGCAAGTGAAACAAAAAATCAAGACGTTACAAAAATAAAATTTTAAAAAAAACCTCAGACCCCAAGCAAACAAACCAAATAGTGTGGGAATAGTAGAAAAAAAAAAAAGAGTCAGAGAGGGAAACTTCAGCATGGTTGTACTCTGCAAAGGTGGACTCAGCCTGTATTTACACAGCAAGCTCCCAATGAGCTCAGCATGCTCCAAGTTTGTCTGCACAGGCAGCCCTGGAAAGACCAAGCTGTGCAGTAGGAGCATCTGTGGAACCACTGGAGCCTCAGAGATGGGTGCAGGGGTCAGTTTTGCAGCCCCCCCCCATCCATCTCTTCAGCTGCATGGACAGCTGCCACAGGGATTTGCACATCAGTGCACACCAGGCACTGCACATGGTAAATATTATCCCTCCACTGGATGCAAGCTGTTAAAAGCAGCTTGTGCCAGATATGAGAATAATCACTAGCACAGCAGTTTGAAAAGGAAAAAGAACCCTCCCTCCTGCCTGCAGGGATGGCTGGAGGCAACTGCTGCTGGATGCATGTGGCAGATGATAATCCGCCAGGTTTGCACAGCACTTTGCCCCCACAATGCCCCTGGCAGAGCACGATGGGACCCGTCCCCACCACACCTCCTGGGGCAGGCAGAGCCAGAGCCAACACTGACTGTGCAACTGGGGCAATGAGACATCCCACCCACAGTGAAACAGGGCTAATAACAGCATTTGGGATTCCCTGAGTCACAGGGGGAGTTACACAGCTAAAGTTTTCAGCAGGCCAAAGGACTTCAGAGCATTCTTTGAGAAACCTGCTCCTTTTGCTAGCTGACAGAGACACTGAACCTCACCACGTGACCAACACTACAGATGATTGTACAAGTACAATAACTCTTGTGGATTTGTTACCTGTCTCCCTACTTCACTGTTGTGCAGATGCATCAGTTTATTGGCTTGTGATCCTGATTTTTTCATCTTCATGGGAGCATCTGAAAATTTGGACCCCATGATAAGACCATAGTTGAGGTTGTCTGCACATCCTCCCCATCGATACCCAGGTCCAGGTGTCTCACCTGGGATGGGACCACAGGAACAGCCAGGGAGGTCCCCGGTGGTGCAGGCTCTGGCAATGGTGTGGCTGATGGCAGCAGCAGAGAGGGCATATACAAATGCTGACTCCCTTGTGCCTGAAAGAGACAAGAACTCCAGCTCAGCCTCCTGGGCCACATAAACACTCCCCAAAAAGAGACTCACACAGTCTGTGTCCCACACAGCAGCCAACACACCAACTCACTGCAGCTGAGGTGTCCCATGGCACCACTAGTTTGGAGCACATCTAAGTGAACTCTTCAACATAAGACAACATCCCAGCAGGGCAAGGAGTCATGGATTTAGGCATCTTGCTCATTGTAGTGTGATTTGCTCTTGGAGCATGTGGTTAAGCCCTCCTGTGAGTCTCCTGCCTCCTTCTGCTCCTCCCATGACTCCCAGTGGGATGAGCAGACTGGAACTGCTCAACTGGTCTGCTTTGTAAGAGTTGTGGTAGATAAGGTCTTGGATCCAAGAGCCTCTGGGCATGACTGGCACCATAATGATGAATGTGGTCTCAGAGAACAGGACAAGCAGGCTTTGTAGTGCCTCCATGGCCTCCCAGGAGCAAGACCCTTCCTATCTCCAGCACACACACACACACACAAACACACTCACAACACACACACACACACACACAAGTATACACAAACACACATACATACACACAGGCTGACTCCAATGATTCCAGTCCCAAGTGAGCCAGCAGTGCTGTTTTACCTCTGTCTAGGTCCAGCAGGTAGTTAGGAGCCAGCTCTATTGAAGAGCAGTTCCACCTCATGTCTGAAAAGGTTTTCCGGCAGGTCTTTATCACCTCCCGCGCTGCCTGAATAATGGTCTGCATCAGCTCCAGGTTGCTGCGGCACAGCTGTACCTGAGAAACCACTAGCCCTTCGAGCTGCTTGCAGTGCTGGGTTTGATTCAGGGCCAAAGCCAAAGAAGTCTTGGACAGAGCTCTGAGGAGACAAGCACATGCACAAAAGCATTAGAACACAGTCTAGTCGTCTACATTCACCTGACTTAATTAAAGCTTTCTCTAAATAGGTGCTTAGATAAAGCTGGTGAGAAAGATGAGCAACCATGAAGAGTGATTTATCTGATATAAAGTTGGTGGGAAGAAACACCCTTTAGCAGTGTGCAATTCCTGAGGGGAGGCTGCACAAAGCTTTGGGGGTATGTGTCGAGTCAGCCGGATGTGTAAATCCTGTGGGGAAGGTTGTTTGCTGAAGAATGAAGAGCACAGACCTCCCAACAGAGTAAAAAATGACCCATCAGTTCCATGATAAAAGAAATCTGGATCCTCCAAGACTGTGGCATTTGGGAAAAAAAGCAACATTGGTGTTATCAGTATTTTGTATTCAGCATCTGTCTCACACACTCTCAAAGGATTATGCTAAATGTCATGTAATTAATTATGGAGAAAATCCCCTGCAAGGCCTAGAGAAAAATCATCAAATTTGCAAAACATATGCTTTCACTTAAAGTTAATGCCAAGGGCCTCTACTGATTCAATCACTGTTGCAGATAGATAAGTCTGTTTCTCTAGTCTCCAAAAACCATACTGCAAAAGCTCAATGGGCCTATGTGCAGAGAGAGCACCACAGCCAAATCTGAGAAGGGATCCATGAATATCAGCACATATGTTACCGTGAAAGAAAAGAACAACATCCCACAGTGGTGGTTCTTCTACTGTCCAATTGCCAACTTTTCCAGGTTAAAAAAAGAACAAATGCTGACATGCATCTCACAGGGCCGTACTCTTCTTCCCTGAGCACCCACAACGATCAGCAGAAGCCAAGTGTGGAACTCTCTTTGTATCTTTTTGGCTTTTTTAGGGTAGCCATAAAAGTTATTCATTCCCATAAAACAACTTTGTAGCAGGCTGAATCAATAATCTGATGGCATCAGATCATGGCAACACAACTTTAACACATATTTCCTTCTGTGCTTGTTAAATGTATTGGCTTTCAGATTCATCTCAAGCCATCTTGGTTAGTTTGGCTTATTAGCAAACACATTTTGGGGTGCATTTCACTTTATTACTGTAACATCCACATTCTTCAGAAGTTAAATGAGATGGAAACAGAGCTAAAATTAAGCCCTAATGAAAACTGGAGGAATTAAATTCTTGCTGGGGATGAACAGGCCGGCTCTGACAAATTCCCAGGTGACTGGGAGTTTGGCATTTCTGGCACTAGATAAACAGTGGCAAACTTGGAAGGGAAACCACTGCACTGGAAGCTATATAAATATATACTTCATACACATATTTAACAGGTCTGTTAAAAATACTGGAAGCAGAAGTCATTGCTAGTGAATTTCAAGAGAAAGAAAAAAGTGGTGGACTTGGCAGTGTTAAGTTATTGGTTGGACTCAATGATCACAGAGGTCTTTTCCAACCTAAATGATTCTATGATTCAATCCTCAGAAATTCTGCCCTGCAGTTCATCTTGTTCCCATACACCCAGTGTTCATACAATGTTCCTTGTCTGGAGAGGGGCCCCTCCAGAAGGCAACTCACCCTGCCTCAGATGTGAACCTGAGTTGGTGGAGAAAAAGCTTGTTAGTGATATACTGGGTGTTCAGGTATCTCAGACAGATCATGTCCTTGAAGGTAAAGACATGACTCTCTGGATAGTATGACTGTCACCTGACAGCAAACTTCTACACTGGGGACCTCACAGCAGTCCTTCAGGATCCTTCTCGAGCTCATGGAAAGCAAAAAGCCACATCTAGGAAGTAGTTAGCCTTTTGTGCTTTTGGGTCCTATGCTAAGACACCATCATGACTTAGAAGTGCTCATTTTCTGCTCTATGTAGGAAATCCAGACACTGAGCAGGAACATGGACATTTGAATGGTATAAGCACAGAGCTTGAATAAGATATGAGCACTTGACACCAGGAATCTGTGACAAGTTACCCCAGAAAGGCTATCAGCAACTCCCAGGAATGAGCTGAAACAGAAAACAGGCAAGAGGCCAAAGCAGCCCATCAGCAATAGAGTATAAATGATAGAAACTCCAGCACACATGTCCCAGCAGGAAGGGAAACAGGCAGGGTGTGGCAGGAGCAATGAGAGAACTTCACAGCCTGAGCTTCAGGCAAATGAGGAACATTCCAAGTCTCTGAGAGAGGCTGTACCATGAGGCAGCAGCTCAGTTTTCTAATCAGACGTGTTGGGTGGCCCTTGAGAGGCCTTGGAATGTTTTGGCTGGCCCTCCAGAAGGATGCATACATCTCCTAGGTCCTACACTACATTTTCTGATCTTTTCTAGATGTCTTCAGCCTCTTTAAAGGGCTTGGAAGGCCACATTGAGGTACCCCTATCTCACAGTTACATACAAGTCATGAAGAGCACAAATAACCATCTACAGGTAGGAATGAAAGCAGAATTCAGACTGAAACTCACCCTCAGTGGGAAAAAACAGGATGTGATGGAATGATACTGTATTATGAAAGGTGCCTTGAAGTGATCACTATTAGAGCAGCAGTTCTATAGTGCAACAAGAAAACCATTTACTTCATGGAAGAGGGAAAATACCTTCTGATCGGTGAGAGCTCAGTAAATGGCAGCAATGGCTGTTTCTCATAGAATGAGCTGAGCTCCAGGAAGCCTACCAAGAATAAAACTGCAAGATGCAGGAAGGGGTTTTCTGACCATCTCCCAGGCCTAAACTTCATGTCTTTGCTTGTGAGAACCTATAATTGGGAACATCTCCAAGTATCAGGAGGAAAAATTAAAAGGTAACGGAGATGGAAAAGAAAACTCAGTTACTGTAGTCATTTGCTGAGACTGAAAAGTGCATTTATAAATCACAGATCAGGATTTTGAGAAGCCTATTAGGTCATCTATTCCATGCCCTGACAACCTAGGTTTGTTCAGTTTCTGTCCCACATTTAGGAATGTCTTCTTCACTCCATGTCACTCTAAACCCTCCCTATGGAAATGCACCACCCCTCCTTGCTTTCTAAATCTGGCAGCATCAGGGGATGGATACCCACTGCCTGCAATGGCATTATTGGGAAACAATATCCATCTGTGGAAAGAAAAACATCCCCCAGGAGAGGCTTGTCCATGGTAGGATTTGGTGGTGGGTCTGTGGCCTGTCTTCACATGGTCTCCACTGATCACCAGCACTGGGAGGGAAACTGGAGCTAGTGGGCACAGCCAGCCTTAAATTCCAGCCCTCAAAGGCATAATTAGAAGAATATCCTTCATTCCTCAGCCTGGGAAAAAGATCCCTGACAAACATCTTTCTGTGGATTCACACTCTTCATCTGAAAAGGGGATTTTACCTGTTTCACCCTGGAAATGCTATTTTTCACTGTTTCCTCCTGATAACAATCTCACGTAATTCTCCTGCCCCATCCTTCATTCTCCAGAAAACCAAGGGGTGGTTGTTTCACCTTTTTTAAAAAATATACATATTTGATCCATCCCTTTAAATAAACAGGGCCTAAACCAAACATCTCCTGATCTCTATATAACACAGCAGGTCCTTCAGTTGAAGTTCTGGATACTGACAGAAAATCATGAACATGATTACAGAGGAAATATGCATAGATGGATAATGACATTCATTTACTCTTTTAATTATCTCAGGCAGTAATTAAATTAATTTGAAAACATTAATGCTCTGCAGTGTTAGGTCCTTTGAGAGGTATGGGCCATTCCTGCATGTCTGGGCCCCATGAGAGGACTGTTCATAGAAAGTGCAGGTTAGGAAGAAGCACCTTCAGATGTTAGCAGATATCAATGAAAGCCATATATTATTTGGTTTAAAAGGTAGCCTGTGAGTAGGACACTGCTCCTAGTCAAGCCAAAGGGAGAACTCCTTCAATTGAGCAGCAAAACATTGATGTCCTTTAAAACATCCTGGAAGGGTGGAAGAATCTTCTCTCTGAAGGCATCTCCCCATCTTCCCTTGGGTGACATGATCTCCAAAAGTCTCACAAAGGGACGGCTGGTGAAACTATGAACCTCTACTCCAATTTATCAGCTTTGCTTGCTGAAAAAGCATTCTTTTTAATGCCTATTCCTAAACTCCTTAATCTTGCAGGGATGTGGGTGACACAAAAAGATTTAAACAAAATTCCATGGCTGTGGAGAGTGAAGTATGTGGCAAAAGTTAATAAAGAGAGGCAGAGATTAAGAGTTCTTTTTGTATTTGATCTCACTGAAGGTTTTTAATCTGCAGGAGCCTCATTTTCTCAGGTCTTCATTTGGAAAAGGCTTGCAGGGGAGTTACAATAATGTTGTCTAAGCTCCTGGTAGTCAAAGGCAGCTCATGCCCCTGCCACCCTGCCCTGCAGCAGTTCCAGCCTGAGGACCACAAGTCCTGGGAGACACCACAGCCCCTGGTAAATGCTTCCCCTGGTTCTGCAAGGGCCTTTCAAACAGAGAAGTAGGATTTATGTGGTTAAAAAAAAAAAAGAAAAAGGAAAAAAAAGAAAGAAAGAAGAGGAAAAGGGAGAGGGAGAGAAGTGTGTGTGGGGAAACCAACTCTGAACTAAAAGCTTAAAATAAGAGCTGTTTTCAGACATGGTGCCAAATCCAGTGCTGGCAGTAGTGGGCACAGGGCTGTTGACTTCATGCCCAAGCTTGAATGAAGTCAATGCCAGCAGTGAGCTGGCTCACTGAGCGCCGAGCAAGGCCATGGAGCTTTGTCAACTTTTCCTGAAGCTGGAGCAAAGAGCAAACTTCAAAGACATGGTACTCCCCTTTCCTCACCCCCAGCCCACTCCCCTCCTGCCATCCCCATCCTGCAGCTCTTTCACAGCAGCTCATCTAGCAGTGCCTTGCCAGGCAGACAGGCTCCTCTCAGGCGCCCGTGGCTCCACGTCCCAGCTCCCTCCCACTGCCTATTGAAGGGGAGAGGCAGGAGCTGCCAGGAAGCACAAAATATTTCCATTTTCTCCCCTGCTTTCTGCTGGCTGCAGAAGGGCTGCTCAAGGTTGGTGGGCTGGGGGACATCCCATGTTCACCCAAAGGTGTGCTTAAGCTGCCTTTTGCTTCTGCAGGGCTGCAATTTAACCATAGGAATTGTGCAGCAATAGCTGGGAATGGAGCTCAGCTGGGGATTGCTCCAGAGCACATGAGACATCACTGGGTCACCACAATGGGGACAGGCAGAGACTTCCTGAGGTGACCAAGCTCCACCTAAAAACAATGGTATTCCTAATGCTAGCTGGGCATATTCTGCAAACCATGAAAAAAAAAGAAAAAACAAAAAAAAAACCAACCCAAACAACCAACCAAATAAAAACAAACAAACAAAACAAACTAAAAAACCCCAAGAAATAAAACAAAACAAAAATACACAACCCCCCCACCCCAAAACAAAAACCAAACAAAACAAACCCAAAAATAACCAGCCCAAATCACTTGCTGTGTTTGGCTTATTTACAACCACATTAAAGGAGAGATTCAATACAGAGGGACAGAGGAGATGCCAATCCCTGTGGAGGCAGAAGTGCCTCAGAAGCCACCCTGTGCCTGGACATCCCAACACCTGCACACCTTTGGGGCAGGCACATCTGGCTGCAGCTCCCTCTAATGCTCATCTGTTTTTCAGTTCTACCCAAATAAGTTGCTCCAGCACCTGCTTGGTCAAACCCAAACTCTCCTGGGAAAGCTGAATGGATTGCAAATGCAGATGGGGGAAGGTGATAGAATTACTAGATGCATTGGTCCTCAGACATATCTCATAAAATCAATGGCTGCCTCACCTTCCCAGCCACTGTGACAAAACTGAGCACCACAAAATGATGTGACCTCCTCACATACCTGCTTTGCTCTCAGGATGGGAAAGTGTTTGCAAAAACAGGATGCAGGGTTTCATATACATTGATGAGGAAGGCTGTACCTCCACAACAATCCTGATCCAGCAAAGATCTGGAACCATACTCTGGAGCCACACTCTGGCTTTACACCTGAGTAGCTCTCTGGAGCTTAGATGGAAGAGCACAAGATATGAAATTTCTCCAGCAAAAGAAAAAGTATATAAGAGAAAGAGCATGTGTACAAGATCCTGACTGTCCACACACCATGCTGGATGTTTGGTGGGGCCCAGCACCAACTTCCAACAGATGGGGACTTGGACCACAGAACTCATAAAAATAAGCCAAGCAAAATAAGAGAAATAATTTCTTTTTTTACCTTCTCCCTGCTTTGACTAATTTTCAGGGCATATTTGTGTTACTGAGTAGTCCTAAATGGCTGAAAATTGTTTTTCTTCTTCTTCCCCTCCCCCTGCAATTACATCATGCACCGAATCAAAACTAAATTTCCTATCACCTTTCTTATCAGTCACTCCCTCATCTCCAGGCTGGTGAGACCCACCTCCTTATCTCTCCCTTCCCCTCCCAATTCCTCTTTGAAGCTCGACTCTGGCACCATGGGTACAAAAATGATGCAGTGGGCAGACCAGTGAGAAAATCCCACAGCTGAAAACATCACATAGCACTTTCCTCCTTCTTCATCCTGTTCTTTTTCCCCACCTCTCTGTTCATGAGCAAGAGAAGGAAGGAGCAGATTTCAATTGTACAGCACCCAGAATATGAGTCCAGAGCTGGGATCAGCAGGTCTGAGGTATTACTCAGTATTTGGTACTCTGTTTGCCAAGAACTTACCCATGCAATTTCTAAGGACAGTCCCTGAGCCCCAAGACAAAAGAGTGATGGGGAGTGGGGAAAATTAGCCCATGTTTCCATAGGAAAATAAGGGTGGGGAAATGAGGAGAAACAGCAAACAAACGAAAAACCAAACATAATTTTGTGAATTTCCAGCTGCCAGCATCCCAGTTGCAAAGTGCTGTGGACAGAGAGTGCAGTCTCTGCCAGGTTTTAAACAGGTGTGAGGGGAGCTCAGTGGTGCATCTGCATGCCATTCATGGTTCAAATACCACTTTAATCCCAGCTTTCATCTTTCCCACTCACTTTTTGATAGGAGGATATGTCTGCTGGGAAATAGAGGAGCAGCAACTGTGATGTCTTACCCCCAAACTGCTTCTCCTCCCAGTCACCCCCAAAAGCAACCCCCACAGCTTAACCACTTAGCAGCCCAAAGACTGCTTTTGACAGCAAAGCTATCAGGAACCTTTCCCTGCCTCCCAGCATTTTTCATGTCTATGGCTTGTCCATACTATGCTATCAGGTTCCTCCTGGAGCTCATCTCACCCCAGCCCTTCGAAGGAACTCAAGCCCTTCATCCATGATTAAGTGGGACACCTGTGCCAAGCATATGGACAAGTCTCTCCAGTCAGTCATCGCTCTACACATAAAAGCCCTGCTGACTCAGGGTGCCACAAAACAGCTTTATTTCTGTCCTGCATAGAAATAAACATTGCAAAGGAGTCCCATGGACATGTTGCTAAACATCCTTCAGAAATGATGGAGATGCCTGCCTCTGCTGGTGCTGGATACAGGCAGAGCTGAGAGCCTAGACACTGGAGGAAGTTGGTGGAAACAAACAGCTGGGTTATGTAACTGAGCTCTTGCTGACTACTACAAGGTGTAAAGCCAAGGCAGTGAAGAGCTAACCAGATCCTTACTCTCCTCTACTTCCAAATGATCCTTAGAGTATGGAGACAACAAATGGAAGATTATGGAATGGTTTGGGTTGGAAGGAACCTTAGAAATCATCTAGTTCCTATCTTCCTGCCATAGGCAAGCATGCCACCTTGAAACATGCCCTGAAGTAGGTGACTATTCCTCCCACCTGACCAAATGCATTTAAACACCCTGTGGAGAGATTCACCATGCTTCTCTTTATGGATATGAAAGGCAGATGTGTGGCTAATAGCAGCTCCCTGCAGCACACAGCATCACCAGAGGCTATCACTTACATTTCTGTTGGATATTTCTGTTTGGAGAGGATGAATTGCCATCTGGAAGGTCCTCTCTTCCCTAACTGCATGATGGAGAGTAAAAACACTGGCTCCAATGGGATACCTTAATTTGCAGATATCCAAATTTAAGCCTTTATAAAAGGTGGCATGAGTAGAACTTCAAATGACAATGGAACAGCAGAATGGCAATTAGACACAGCATGAAGTCTGTGGCAGAAGGAGCAGCAAAACAGGAACCTCTTGTCCAAGTTTCATCACCTATCCCAAAGATCTTTGCTTCAATGCACTACAGAGTCTTCCTGGCATTGTATATTATTGTGTCTTTTTTTTTCTACCAAAGATGCTCATTTGAGGCAAACCTACATTCCCTTACTTATTTTGTGCCCAGCTCCAAACCCAAGTAGAAGAGACAGATCAAGGTCATGAAACCAGATTGGCTTTGGAGTGGCCTGTTTGTTTGTTTATTTTGCAGAAAGAAACTAACTGATTGCTTGTTTAAGCAAAGAAATGAGATGGTGATGTTTTCACTTTGCAGTACATTACCTCTAAAGAAACTCAATCCTGACTTGACCACAGTCCCTGGTATTTCTTCACCCTCCTCCCCCCTCCTCACCTCATTTTTAACACCCTTCACAAAATCCAAAGGTTAAAAGGTCCAGAAAAAAGCCATGTTATCTGTCAAGCATCCCTTGTGGTTGGAGATGGGCAGCATTATCTCAGCTGCCATCCCTGCTGCTCTCAGTTCCTACTCAGCACAGCCAGGGGCTCTGGTGGGAGAGTTTCCCAGCATAGCAGGAGCTAATGCTAGGAGCTTCATTAAGTGGCTCATGTGAGCATTCAAGTGTGTGCCTTTCCCTTGGTATCAATGAGGAGAAAAAAACCCAAACGAGCCTAAATCATGCATATTTTAGAAAGAAGATGGAGACATTGTTAGCATAAGCCCCTAGTACACACACTTGAAATCAATCAATGCCTGGAGAATTGCAGTGCTTGCTGCTCTTTAAACAGTTTACAGCATGCCTCAAGCAGCAGTTGTACAAACAGGTAAGAGACGAGCAATTCCTACAAAAACATTAAAAATGCAGAGATAGAGCCAGATACTTACATCCATTTTATCCCATAGCAAAGCCCTGTCTGCAGAATCAACAGCAGAAAACCAGCTAAGAAAAATCGCAGACTTGGCTTCATTTTCTCTGCTTTCTCCTGCTGGCCAAAGGAAATCAGCTTCTCCAAAGAAATTTGTTCTTAAAAAAGGAGTTTTCTTAATATTTTGTGCAGTGTATTTTCCTTCAGTTTGGGTAATGCTCGTTCCTGGAGATGAAACACCTGAAAGGAGAAAGAGCCCGAGCTACGGTTAACTCCGAAGTTTAGCAAGTCACTGTGAGAGAGAAATCTATTATCCAAATTGCAGAGGAGTGGCTTATGAATCATGAAAAGGTTTGGATTATCCCTTCTCAGTCCTCTCCCTTGCCAAGCCTCGATACAACCTTTTGAGTCAACAGACAGACAAACCGTATGGGTTGAATTACACAGAGTTATGGTCTGATTGTGTGTTTCCATTTAACCCTGCACATGGCAAGACTTCATTTGCTGCTTCACTTTACTGGGGGTTTTTTTCTTCCCCTCTCCAAAAAGTTTGTGCAACTCCTTAGGAAGAAAAAAAAAAAAGAAGATAGATCTTTACATTAGCTAAAATCTTCAGCTATTCATCTCTCGCTTTCTTATCTCTAGATTTCTTTTTCTTTTTCTGCAGAGAAGACAAATAATAAAAACTGCATTTCCCTACTCAATGCAGGTGCCCTTGCCCTGCAGATGTTTCTCTCTGATCTCTTACAATGAATATGTTTTGCTCTTTACCTTTTGCTTTTCTTCTCACCTCATTAACTCTGCCTCTCACTTCTTCCAAGCCCTTGGCACCTGGAGCTCACGGAAAAGGCTGCAACTTTGTAAACATAAAATCCCATTTTTGTCTCCAGGGAGCAGCCTGGAGGAGACAAAAAAGCTATCAAGGACACCCTCACACCCCTTTTCTTTGTGTTGGTTTTTTCCTTCTTCGGGCCAAACAGATAAACAAACCAGATGCAGGACTTAAATCCTTAGAGGGGTCCTCTCTGTCTCCAGGGCATGGCTTGCTTATTTTAGCAGCAGTATTAATAGCAGTAAATGGGTTTCCCTTCAGTTCCTCACTTCAGACACCGCTCCAGGCTGCTTTTTGTGGTCTTAGCAGTGGTTTCCCATCCCATGAGAAAGACAACAGTAAAATAAACAGAAAAACCTGCCCCCCACATTGCATCTCTGGGGTCTCACAACCCATTGCACAGCACACTGGCAAACCCGAACTGTAACTGTTCATCCCCCCACAACACCCCCTCAAAGAGGTTTGGGAAGGGATTGGGAATGGTTGGAGCAGTCAGCTTCACTCTGGGAAACCTCTTACCCTGGAAAAAGAGTATCCTACCTGATCCCCAGCTCTGGATTTGCCCAGCTGCAGCTTTCTGCCTAAATATTCCCATTTGGGGAGCAATTGGGTTGGGAGGAATTAATATTTCTGAGTGTTTTCTCTGCCATCTGCAGCATATTTTTCTATTCAGGCTGCTTTTTGGCTATCCCAGCCCAAGTGCCTGGAGTAAAGGGTTTCTAGAGAAGTGCTGTTATTACAAAGGAGTTTAATAACCTCTAGGGGCGAGTTCCTGGCTCCCTTGAAGCCCAAGACAAAACTGACTGCCTACAAGGGAGGTAGGATTTCATTGCCATGGATTGTTTTTCCTTAATGCCCGCTTGGATTTGGGTTTGATGCATCCCTTGAAGGCAGTGTTCCCATGAGGATCCAGGCACACATGCTTCTTGTTTCAGAGTATTTCTGTATCTTTTACTCTTTGGGAGCCCTTTTCTTCCCACTGTTCCACAAGCACACTGGAAACCTTCAACCCTTAATCCTGCCCATGCCTTTCAGTGTCTATTTAGATATTTCAGACCCCTTATCTCACGCCTGTGAACTGCTGGACAACACAAGAATCGGGTGTAAAATGTCCCAGATGGTCAAAAATGCTCTCACTAAACCTGACCAGCCAACGCCATTCTCTACTCTCCCCCTTGCCTTGAAAAAGTCACAGTTTGGGGTTTTTTCAACCCCTGGAGTGGAAGAGAAATGATCTAATTTCTCCATACCTCCCCAAAGAACTGAGAGCTTTGCATGCAATTGCACCCCTTTTATTTGGAGAGGTAATAAAGCATTTTTTCCGCTCAGTCCAACACAGTTTACATTTGCAAGAGCAATTTGCAAGGGTGGGACACACTTTGGGGCAGATGTGATGTTTACAGCTCTGGTGAGCTCTGGGTCACTGATCAAACCAACAGCAAGTGGCCTGTGCACTCCTAAAAACAGGAGCTGCTTTTAACTCAAAGCTCTCTGTTCTTTTCACCCTAAGGCTGTTTGCAGCCAGCCACACTCTGGCACACAGAAAACACTCCCATCAGACACTTCCAAGACTCTGGACTCAGGGATGGGAACGGGCAATTTTAACTGTACATAAAAGTGTGACTATTCAGCTCACATTTTTCCAGTTTTTCTATCCAGGAAACAAAGACATCCACCTGACTCTGCTGCCAGCCTGCAGCTCTCTCCAAGAACCCAGCAGCCTGGTTTAGGGGTAGCACATCCCCAGATGACCTGCAGCGAGGAGTGGGAGCAGAGAAAAGGAATAGAGCTGGTGGTGGAGCTGATTCCAGCTGCCGGGTCTCACCACTCCCTTGCTGCTTTCTGGATCTTCCTTGTCCCCCGCAGCCCCTGGGTGTCCCCACTACCCTGCAGCCTCCCGGACTCCCCTCTCCTCTGCAGCTCCTTGCATTGCCCTGCACATTTGCAGCTCCATATCCCCCCTCTGCCACCAGACCCTGGGTCTCCAGCGTCCCATCCAACTCCTGGGTTTCTCCTCACCCCTGCAGGTCATCGGGCACGGGTCTCTCCACGCTCTGGGTCTCCCTTTCCCCTCGCTCCTGCACTCACGCTTCCCCTTGCCGGGTGTCAGGTCTCTTAATTCAGCCTTCGAGTCTCCTCCTTCCTTGTTTTCCCCCGGGTATCCCCTCTCCCTTGCAGTCTCCAGCCTCCCCTCTCCCTCGCATTCCCTCGGTTCTCCCTGCCCCATGCATCCTCCCGGGTCTCCCTTCTCCCTTGCAATCCTCCGCGTCTCCCTTCTCCCTTGCAGTCTCCAAGCCGCCTCTCTCTCTGGCATCTCCTCGGTCTGCTCTGCAGCCTCTAAGAATCCTCTCTCCGCCGAACCGCCCAGCGTCTTCCTACTCCCCTGCATTCTCCGGGATGCAGCCCCTCTCCTCGGAATTCCGTCCACGCCTCGCAAACCCCTGTTCTGGGCCAGCCCCGCACCTTGGGCGTTCCGAGGGGCTGCCCGGAGCCGCTGTCCCCTTCCCACCTCTCCCGGCAGTGCCGCGGTCCCCGCTTACCTCGGCCCGGAGCGGGCTGCGCGGGGAGCGGGGCCGCTCTGCCGGGGAGGCCCCGCAGCCGCCTTATATGCGGCCCCTCGGCTTTGATATGCGGGGTGATGTCAGCCCGGATTAGCATAACAAAAGGCTCCGCGCCCCGCGGATGCCCTGGCGGGCAGGCCGGGCCCCGGGGGCTCCGCGCATCCCCTCCCCGCTCCCATCCCGGCACAGGGCCGGGACAGGGCAGGGGGCTCGGCCGCGGCCCCGGGCACCGCGGGGACCCAGCGGTGTTATTCTAATGAGAGGTTAATGATTAACAGTGATTAGCAACGAAAACAGCGAGTCGGGGTTCTGGCCGGATGGCGAGCGCGGCCAGGGGTGCCCCGCGCTGCCCTGCCCCGGACAAGGACAGGGACACTCACCGTGCTGTGCCGGGAGATCGGGCTCCTCTGCCAGGGTCGGGAATCACCGCCCGGGGTAGTCCCTGCTCAGGCTGTACCTCAGCACGTCCTGCTGTCAGCCTGCAGGTTCCAAACCTCTGCTCTGATCGTCTGTGATCGGTGGGAAGAGCAGATGTTGAGGTCTGGATTTTGCTTTCAGGTCGCTTTCGGGGTTGCAGGCTTGCTGATTGCCTGCTAACGGGAGAGAAAGAGGGAGGAAAATGTAAAAAGGAAAAAGAAAGGGAAAGGGAAAGGGAAAGGGAAAGGGAAAGGGAAAGGGGAAAAGGGAAAGGGAAAAGGGAAAGGAAATGGAAAAGGAGAGGAGAGGAGAGAAGAGAAGAGAAGAGAAGAGAAGAGAAGAGAAGAGAAGAGAACGTATACAAGAAAATAGGAAAAGTAAAAAAATAAAAAGGGAAAAAGAGAAAGAAAAACGAGAAGGGAAAAGAAAAATAAAATTTAAAAATTAAAAGAAAATAGAAAAAAGAAAAAGAAAAGGGAAAAGGGGCAAAGAAACAAAGGAGAAAAGAAAAACAAAAGAATAAAAGAATAAAAGCAAAAACAAATAAATAAAAAGAGGTTAATAAAAAGGAAAAGAAAAAATTAAAAAAAAAACAGCAACAAAAAAGGACAAATGAACAAAGGAAAAAAAAAAGGAAAAAGAAGGAATATAAAACAAAAAAAATTAGAAGAAAAAACCTTAAGATAAAAACCCTGTAAGAAAGAAAAGCACAACTGGCTTCTGAAATTAAGTCCTCATGAGTCTGAATTTAAGACATCTGTCAGCTATGGGCTCTGAAAAAATGAATGCTGGTTGCAAAAGTACTTGTGTATTTTTTTTTTTTATTTGGTTTAATTGTGGGTTTCAGGTGAAAGGAAAGAAATGCTTTAGTCCCTGGATCAAGACACTCAGAACAGTTTCCTTATGGTCTGTTTTCAGGACAGCTACTTATAGAGGATATTTTTTGTGTGTGTCCCTTTGCTGATTGCATTCATATACACAAGTCACAAAAGGTCCTGTGTGAACTGCAAAGAACCCTGTATACACAATCCCAATTTCCCAAAGCCATTATATTATTTGTTTTGCACAGTATGTCCATTTTTCTTTGTGTGACAGTTGCCCAGAAGTACTCAAACTGCTCCAAACTTCCATTTCCCTGGCCCTTCTCCCATCCCACTGACCCCCAAAAATGTGTACCTATGAGGAGGAGGTTTTGTCAGGGTTCTCCAGGGAGGAATTATTTACATGGGGGAATTGCCTGGTATATCTATTACAGTCTGACTTGCTGTGCAAATGATCTGATTTCTGTATAA